AAACGGCAAACCGCAGAGGAAAGGCATCCATGCGTCATCACAAAGAATATTTCAAGATCTCCCCTGAAATACAGCGCTGTCAGGGATAGGAAAATACCAATATGCCTACAAAGAAGGCCGGGTCATTCTTCATCCAGTCATCGATTCAGATACTCCGGCCTCCACGGGGAGCGGCAGCGCGCCAGCTCGTCGGGCTCCGACAGGGACCGGCAGTGCCGTTTGGTCGGCGGGGCCAAGGGCTGCCCCGCGTGCTCGCCGAGGCTCACGTCGCTGTCGCTGCCGCCCTCCGCTGCCGCCGCCGCGCCGGGGGCCTCGGGGCGCCACTGCAAGCCCATGGGGGGCGCCGGGCCAAAGGGGCCGGGGGGCGGGAAGGGGAAGCCCGCGTGCTGGGCCCCCTCGCCGCTGCGGGCCGGCCTTCCTCCACTCACGACCTTCCAGGGGCTCTTGACCACTGTGGAGATAGAAGGTTGGGCCATCCGTGAGCTCGGCTTGGTGCAGGGCTCCCTACTCTGCCGTCACCAGGGCCCTTGCGGTGGTCAGGGTGCGCTGACCACTGCTGGAGAGTCCAGTCTAACACCCAGTGGCGATCGTGGGCTGAAGAGGCACACTGCCCCTTCAACCAAGCCAGATCTGGCACCTCGGGGTCCAAGAGGGCTGGCAGGGACCTCACCCGGCCGAGCTCACCTCCTGTGGTTTCTTCAAGGAGGAGCCCTGGAGACAGAGTGGGTGACGCACTGGGCTGCTCACCATAAAGTCAGCAGTTCTAACCCCAGCCACTCCAAGGGAGAAAGGGGAGGGGGGCTCCACGCCCATCAAGGTTTGCAGTCCAGAAACCCACAGGGGCACTTCCGCCCTGTCCTGTGGGGTGGCTACAAGTCCGCATCAAACTGATGGCGGCGAGTTTGTTTTTCAATATTTAGGGAAACAGCCTCAGCTTTCGCTCCGCCAGGGGCCACAGGACCCCATAAGGTGGGCAGTTCCCTGACACCTCCCAGGGAAGACCAGCTGTGGAGGACCCTCAGCCCCAGCATAGCCGGGAAGGTCAGGCTTGCTCAGGCTCGGCTACCATCCTGAACTCACACGGGAGGCCCCGCCCGCAGGCCCCAGCGCAGGGCCCATGGGAGCCCCAGGGAATCGCCCTGGCTGGAAGCACTTACCATTGAGGCCAAAGGAGAACAAGCCCCCGCTTTTGTTCACTCTCTCAGTAGAATACTGCAGGGGACAAGAAAGAGAGGGGTCAGCCCCGGCCCTGGGCCCCAAGGGAGGAGGCGCCTGAAGGAATCCGCCGCCACCCCCTCCCTCTATCCCATCCTGGCCCACCAGGCCCTGCCCACAAGAGTGCTTGTGCAACTCGCCCGCATTTTCTTTTTGCTGATGAAAAACCTAATGCTAAGTAACTGGACAACACTTTCTTTTCTTAATGGAGCGCTTGAGAACACTAGTGGCCCCATTCCCCGCATGGGAACAAGCGTGCGACTCCTAAGCCTCTGTCCTCACACACCTCTCCACTGGGGATGACCCCCAGGCGGCTCCAGATGTGGGGGCAGTGCCCTGGTTCAGGGACAGACTGTGGTGTATGGGGGGCTGAGCCTACCCCCGGGCACAGACCTCACTGCCCACGAATCCCACCTCCACCAGATAATGCATTTTGAATAAAAGGATTGAGAGCACCTAATGTCCCATCACTGCGGCCCTGTAGCCCCCCACCTCCTCGGCCCAAGGACACAGCTTCCACAAGGTCCCACCGGAGCCCGTCACGTATTCCCCACCCCCACCCTGCCATCATCACTGTGAGGCTTATTTGCCAATCTCTGGAAAACCCCTGTGGCCCTATCACCCCTGTCCCACGCTCACCCACTGCCATGATGACACTCAGGGATCCTCCCCATCGCTCTGGCTCGGCCAATGGGCCGGAACCTCTGTGTGTCCAATCGGGCCCAGCCCACAGCTCCCTGGCCCACCTCCTCCTCCTGGAGTGAGGGTGGGTATTGGAATCACAAAGCCAGTCCTGGGCGGTGACATGCTGACTGTGGGACTCTCTCCACCAGTAGAACCTTCAGCAGCCTGGTGTCGCCAGGGGTGAGGGAGCAGGTGGGAGTGAGCCGGAAGGAGGGGTGCTTATCAACAGAAATTGTGCTGACAGAAAGGTCCCCATGTCTCAACTACACCAAGACTCATTTCCTGGTCTCGTCATGGTCCTGCGATTCTGAAAGGTGCTACTCAAAATGAGAAGAAATGGCTGCAAATACCCCTTCCTCTTTGGCGCACGGGAAAGCCGGAAACCACAAACAGAGCGGAATGCATACGGATCACTAACCTAGGCACCCGTGTGCCAGAATAGATGGATATTGCCCTTTTTAAATTGGACAGTTATAGGGTCTGCTACACAGGAGCCCACGTAGCCTAGTGATTATGTGCCAGGCTGCTAACCGCAAGGTCAGCAGTTCAAACCCACCAGCAGCTCTGAGGGAGCAAAGACTTGGCTTTCTACTCCCGTAAAGAGCCACAACTTTGAAAACCCTCGGGGCAGTTAGTTCTAGCCTGTCTATAGGGTCCCTATGAGTTAGAACTGGCTCAATGGCAGGGCTGTATTGTTGGTTTTTTTAATGATCTGCTGCTATGGGCCAAACGGCAAACCGCAGAGGAAAGGCATCCATGCGTCATCACAAAGAATATTTCAAGATCTCCCCTGAAATACAGCGCTGTCAGGGATAGGAAAATACCAATATGCCTACAAAGAAGGCCGGGTCATTCTTCATCCAGTCATCGATTCAGATACTGGCACCAGCCAGTGATGAAGAAACTGGAGATTCATGCCGAGGAGTGCAGTCTGCGCGCTGATAATGACCGGTGATTGGAGCGGAGGGGGGGCAACAAAGCAGGGTCCGTGGCTGGAACACAGGGCCAGGAGAGAAACGACCCGGGGGGCTGCAGGACAGAATTGTACACGGCCAACGGCATCTTCGCCACACATATCTCTCTCCAACAGTCTGAGCGACAGCTACACACGGGCCGTGCCAATTCAGAGACCCCAGAACCAAATCAGCTACATGCATGGACAGAGGGGGTAGGGAGGTGACGTTTTACAGCAAGGCAAGGGGCACAGATCACTCGTGGGCCAGCTCGAGAGGAAGCCAGGAAAAGGAATGCACCCAGGAGAGCCGGTGCACAGCCTTGAGTGCATTGTTGGCAGGCGCCGGGGAGGTGGCTGTGCGCCGGGGAGACCGATGCACCATGGACAGCAGCCTGCACTATCCTCACGGGGGTTCTTCTATTTGAGCCCCTTGCTGCAGCCACTGCATCAGGGCACCTGGAGCGCAGCCCCCTTGAATTTAAGAGTTCCTCTCAAGAACAGGTCCCCGACCTTGTTCTGGCTGAAGATACAGAGCGTCTCCAGTGTCTCTTCCCACAGATGCAGCCAATCTGATTCCTATGTGTTCCACCTGGTGAGGTCCTTGTGTGCTGTGTCAACAAGTACATACACATGCTAAGTAAGGCCCACGTGTGCAGCTGCCGCGTGTTGCTTAGAAAGGTATTTCCAATGAACAAGGCGCCGGCTCTCCAAAATCCTGCCGTGTCATCTCCAGCATCATTTCCATCCCCAGGGCCACCATTCCAACTGCTGCTCCGTCTTTGTTTCTATTTTCACATCCCACTCGCCACTGGTGATCAATACATTGTGATGGGCAGGATCTTCAACTTCATCCTTGGCTTTAATGGTGGGTGCATGGATTTCAAGACTAGTCATGTTAACTGGTCTTCCTTGTGGGTGTATGGATGATTGTCCTAGCACTGATTATTATCGCTGTACTTCAGGGCGGATTTTGAAATGTTCTTTTTGAGGATGAAAGCAAATAGTCCTTTTCAATTTGTCATTTCCGGTATAGTAGAAGACCGTATGATTGTTCAATTCAGAATGGCCAGTACCATTGTTTATATATGTAAATATAAGCAAATGCAACAAGAAAGCACTTCAGTACAAGAATGGTTTGCTCTAATAATGTGGCACTGCATGATACTCACCTTCCTGACACGATCTCTGAAGCCAAAATCAGAGCTTAAGTAAATGTGGTGAAGAAAGCCAATGGTGCCCGGCTATTAAAAGATAAACATCTGGGGTCCTCAAGGCTTGTAATTAAAAAATGGCTATCTAGCAGGGAAGCAACAAAGCCCACATGGAAGAAACACACAACCCAGTGTGATCATGAGGCGTCGACCGGAAGAGGTATCAGAAGTTCAAAAACAAGCAACCAAATCAATGTGAAGATGTGGGGATATAGTGGAGACCCAAAACCCACCTGAAGGATAACTGGACAGTCCCTCTCAGAAGGGCCACACGGAAGGGATGATAAATCTAGGGTGCAGTATGGCACTGATGAACCACGTCACTACCCTCTATTTCTTTAATATTTCCTCCCCT